GCATAGTAATTATTTTTTCTAACGGATATGCTTGCACTATAATTAACCGTAGTCTGCATTTTTTTCGACTTTGTTCGTCAGAAGTAATGGATGGGCGAAGACATTCCGTAGATGTTCTCATATCGAGAACACTTATTTTGTCACTAACTAATAACAGTGACAATAATTATAGATATAGTGACAAAAAGAATCATCACTAGAGCTCAATTTTCTTGTAGTACTTGGGGCCCAAAGCCCAGAGATGGTACCAATAATTGTACCCCCACTCTATCTTGAGTTGGCGGCAGTTCAGGTCGACATTACGATCTCACTTTATTAGGTCTCAAGTCTGCATGATTCCGAAAGAGTCAATCACGGACATATTCCAAGGGGTCACGAGAGCCTCAAGGACCATGTTGCTCGTTTCAATGAGCGAGTCCAAAATATGGAGTTGTGCCACCAGAAGACATTGCTGGGATCGGTATATTCGGGTACAAAGTCGAACTCGATGGTTAAGTGGTCATTGTGCAGAATAAGTCGACCACCTACCGAGAAATCTCTAGGCTCAACAATATGTTATGGCCGTGGAGTCCATGTCTGTGCCGACTTTTGAGGTTCCTGGAGGTACGACCACAAAATAAAATGAGGCCAAATAAGCACGGGACCTAGCGAATGAAGCCCAAAGAGCACAAATCCAATCCCTCAAAAAGCAGCGGCAAAAGAAGCCTAGAGAAATTACCAAGAAGTGTATTCACCTGGGGTCGCGACAGTGTACCAAGAATTCAAGAACAAGGAATTTTTTCCTTACCCGAAGCTGATGATAGTAGGCTCATCAAGTTCAGGTATTGCGCCTATCACAAATCGCTTGGGCACAACACCGACCAATGTCACAACCTTATTTCGACCCTTTTGAAGCTGATTGGAGAACCGATGGGTAAGGAAATTCACCCGCGACCAAGAAGGAAGAAAGAGGGACCGACCTGATGGTGTCCCCGATAGCGACGGTGATGAAGATGTCCACTCGAGAAGGTTGAGATACCCCCCACAGAAAGAGATTCTTACATTCACCTGGTTCACTAAAAGGTAGCCAACTTATCTCAAGCTCGGAAGCGCAGTCGATCCCGAACCGACCTCAGCGTAGAAACTCCTCTCTGGCTCGACTCATGAACACTAGTCGAGGAGGGCTGATCCCATCCAGAAGGTAAACTAATTAGGCCTATGCTCAACGCCCATACAATGTCGGGCAACAAGTACAGAACGCCAACCTCCGACCAGCGCCCTCGGTGAGCTTAAATCTAGTTTCGTTTATCGACGAATATGCCTTATTGTTTGACCATCCCCACTCGAATGGACTGGTGTTCGTGGCGCTCGTCTTCAACATAAATGTGCATTGGACTGGTTGACACGGGGGTGTATGTGACTATTTTGTACTACAACACTTTAAAAAATATGGGAATCGACCCAAAGGAGGTGAAGCCGTGTTGAGACATAATCCAAGGCTTCGATGGCCGAACTGCACTCCTAATGGGAGAGATAACATCGTTGATTCAATTCGAGGGAAACGACTCGAATGAAAAGACAATTTTGGAGACGTTCAAGATCGTTGACCATCAGAACGAATACAATGTCATACTTGGGAGGATGACTCGTTACAAAATTCGAGCTGCAGTCTCATTTTTTCACTACGCACTGAAATTCCTGACCTCTAATGATTCGGGTACTCATTATGGAGATCACCGAGAGGTCTGAGAGTGCATATTGCTCGTCTCCCCAAAAAAAAATTCATGCTGCTTATGTGATGGAAGGGGGAATTGTTGAGGAAGTGACTAGAAATGGACAGGTGTTGCCGGAGCAGCCCTCACTAGAACGTACGATGCCATATGCCTTAGTGACCAACCCAGAGCAAGAGGGTCCACCAGTTTTTCGTTCGTTGGCACGGGGCGACATTAGCTCGAAATGAATGGAGGATGAAGAAGACAATTTCAAGAGACCGATGAAGGAGACCCGACAAGGAGCTGGTGAAGCGAGATGGCAAGCTCGACCCACGAGAACCGTTCAAAGTCGAAAATGGTGGAAAGCTGGTCGAGCTGATGGACGAGGTCGAAAAGCCGACCTGCCGAAAACAGTTCTGCATCGAAAGGAACCTTCCTGAGCCAATCTAGACCAAACTCATCTAGTTATTAAGGGATAATGCTGACGTATTCACATGAGCCCATGATGATATGATCAGGGTTGACCCAAAGGCTGTTTGCCATAAGTTGCAGATTGACCCGACAGTTAAGTTTGTGATTCAAAAAATAAGAAAGCTCAGCCCAGACTGACAACATGCTTTTGGAAAAAAAGGTCATCAAGATGAAAAAAAATTTAGTTTAAACAGGGATTCAGATACCCGACTTGGTCTCAAACTCAGTCTTTGTGAAGAAAAACAATGGAGCATGATGCATTTGCATTGACTTTTCTGACCTCAATAATGTCTACCTAAAGGACAACTACCCATTGCCTCATATTGATTATATGTTTGACATGATCTCGGAACATGAGCTGATGAGTTTTATGGATGCGTACTCGAGCTATAACCAAATCCCCATGCACCAGATGACGAAGGACACACTTATTTCTACTCGACCCGCAGACTTTGTTGCTACAAAGTGATGCCATTCGAGTTTAAAAATGTATGTGCCACCTATCAAAGTCTTGTAATTGATGTTTTCTAGTTTGATAGGTTATACGATAGAAGTGTACATAGACGATATGCTAGTTAAATCCTTGTATGCATCAGACCATGTAAAATATCTTAATAGAATGTTTTTCTATTTTATGTGATTATTCGATGGTCTTGAATCCAAAAATGTACATTCGGGGTCGCATCAGGAAAATTCCTAGGCTATAATGTAATACAAAGAGGCATAGAGGCCAATCCCAAGAAAATAAAAGCCATACAAGATCTTTGACCTCCGAGTTCAATCAAAGGAGTTTAGAGTTTGACCGGAAAACTAGTCGGACTAACCGATTTATCCCGAAATCAACAGACTGGTGCAAATCATTATTTGAGGCGATCATGAAAAAATAAAAAGTTCGAATGGACCCCCTAACGCCAAGAAGCATTAGAGAGTATTATGGCCACTTTGAGCCAAGTTCCGCAAAATGCAAAAGTTTAGACTCGGGGACTGTTATACTTATATCTTGGAGTAACAAATGTGTCCATAAGTGCAGTCCTAGTTCGGGAAGAAGCCTCGTGCAAATACTAGATCTATTATGTGAGCAAAGTACTTCACGACGCCGAGCTATGTTACCCACCGATGAAAAAGTTAGCTTTTGCTTTGGTCACCGCAACTCAGAAACAATACTATTACTTTCTGGAATATTCCGTGACTGTCTAGGCTTTCCCCTATGGCATATTTTCAACCGAACAGATACCTCAAGTCGGATGGTAAAGTGGGCACTCTCGCTGGGACAGTTCGATATCATTTTTAGCCCAGGACAACCATCAATTTGCGTAATTCATCTCGGGAATCGAAAAAGTGAGAAACGACAAGCCGTGGGTAATGTATGTGGACAATCCTCCACCGCTAACAGAGCTGGTAAGGGTATTATTCTCGTCGACCCCCAAAAGAGGTTATTTTTTCACTTGGTCAAAATCTCTTCGCGGCGACAAACAACAAGACCGAGTACGAATTGATGAACTTAACAGACCTGGTCATTTACTCCAATTCATTGCTGATGTTTAAACAAATTTCCAGACAATTTGAGGTCAAGAAAACAAGGCTAGACCCGTACCTTGACCTCGTAGGAAAAAACATGGCCATGTTTCGAGTCCGAATGGAGCATATCCTAAGGTTGAAAAATGTACAAGCAGATGCCCTTGCAGTCTAACTTCAAGCGCGGACATGGAGAATATGGAGTACGTTCAGTCGGGAGACTGAATTAGGTTACTACTATGTTGATTGATTTACTTTTAGTTGATATTTAAAATAGTCCGTAAACATGGCACAATTGAGGTTGATCCATGCTGATAAAGTTAATAGTTGATTTTGCCAACTAAATATAAATTTAAATATTAAAAATTCTTTATTACGATAAACATAATGTAGTCCAACTCCAAAAAAATATATTAAGTTTTTTATGAACATGTTCAATAAATATTTATACATCATCTTATTAATATTTATTTGAACAAAATGATATTATATTGCAACTTTTATTGATGTGCATTAAATCCAATGTCCCCATAACTGGACCATCATCGAAGAAAGTTATTTATTTATTGATTGGAACTAAATTTAATTTGTTAATATTTAATATATATATATATGTATATTAATTTTTGTAATAAATATATGTAAAATGTTAATAAAATATTTGAACAATTACAATTTTTAAATGTTTAAACTAATTGATAAAATAATATATAAACCTCCATTTTTTTTGAATATTTATTTGTATTTATATTAAAAATGTTACTAAATATAACATTTTTTTTTAAAAAAATTGTACCTATCACTGGCGTTGGTCGGTTCACTAGCAAACGTTTTATTCAAGTGAACTCGACCGATCAATAAACCTTCTTGATCCATTCGACCGGTCTGCTTGAGGTCCTATTTAAAAAACAATAGTTAAGTTGCGATATATGTTATCTATATATTTAGTTTATAATATAATCGTAAACTTTGTTTTCTGAGTCACGTTGTACTAGTGAAATAAAGTACTAGCAGAAAAAAGGATGAATAAAACGAAACCAAAAATAAATTTTATAGAGCTAGACAACGAAGTGCATCTTGGTGTTAAGACGCCTCAACTATGGCCCATAGGTCATGAGTTCGAGTCCCGATGAGGAAGTTAGAACACTATTCAACATCACTTAAAAAAAAAATAAAAATAAAAAAGCGCAAAGCTATAAATTACGGAATAGCCATTCGGGCTTTGAACCCTAGTTTAAACCCTCTTTGAGCCTTCTATTCATTTGCAAGTACTCAATTCCCAGTTTCCGAGCTGAACTCGCACAAGCTAGCCGAAAGAAGACCATGGGGAAGCTTGGTAAGAAGGCAAGAAAATTTGCGAAGAAACATCTTCAATCTGTGCTGAGGAATAGGCGAAAAACAAAGGCTTTATTCAAGAAGAAAGCTCGCAGTAAGTGTAACCTCGTTTTGTGCTTTGATTAGCACATTTTTTGTGTCTATAGTGTTTTTTCGGCGTTTTGAAGCATATTTTCATAGACGAAGGTTCATGGGTATTGCTCGAAAATGTAGTGCTCTGTGTGATTTGCTCTTGTTTGTGATGGAAAGAATGATAATAGGTGGCAGCTGTGTGTATGTGTATTTAGTTCATACTCTGAACAATTAGAGTTTGTTAATGGATGAACATGAATACAGTAAGCGGTCATAGCTTGTCCTTTCTGTTTTGCCTTCGTTTATATCCTCTATTTGTAATTACTATCTCTTATTTGTTTTCCTTATTTTTGGTTAGAATTGGTGGTGGAGGGAGTTTAAGTATAGTATGAATTGCCAAAGGCTTGTATATTGAGCCAAATATTAACACTATAAATATTCTAAAGAGATGAGATTGCTGAATGTGTCAATGTGCTACATATATGAACTATAGGCGTGTTTAAAGCCACGTATTTCATTTTCTTATTGAAATTATTGTTTATTAAGATGCATGTGTTTTGTTATTCACTTTTTTATTGTATTTTTGCTGCAGAAGGCGCTCCAAATGATACTGAGGAACCACTGGACAATCAATTGAGTGTCTCTAATGGAAGGTAAAACAGGTGAATTTGATGCATCTTAATATTAGTATTTTAAGGAGCAAATTTTAGGAAATAGATTCTAAATTTTTTTCTATTATTAACTTCTTCCGTGTCACAAAAATTGTACTGGGAAATGTATAATAACTTTGCAGATGTGGTCGTGTTTCTTATTATCCTTCTCCTGGTTGGCCTTCTATAGATATTTTTTATTAACATTGCATCCTCATATTTGACTTCTAATCACGCTAATTGCTTTAGGATCGTATTTGAATTTTGGATGAACCTTGCTTTTTTTTTTTAATCATCATTTCAGGAACACGGAATCAGAAGACATAGGAAATATTTCTCTTGATGCGGTGTTCATGGAAAATGCAACTGATGAGGTTGAAGATGCTTCAGACAGTGATGGTTATCTTTCAGAGGTTTCAGACATTCTTCTGCTTATTTTTTGTTGTTCTACATGACCTTTTCTTCCTGCTAAATTTATTGTTGGCTGTTGAATGTTTAATCACTTTTAGGACTCAGGCTACCCATATGATGTGGAAACTGAGAGTGATGAAACTCCAGAAGGTTTCTTTTCTCCAAACTATTTTCATGTCCTATATATTTTCCCTCTCGATCTTTCAACTTGCTTATGTTGACATTTGTTTTTGGAGAAGTATCCTTAGATTTCTCGGTTCTCATGCAGGTGAAATAGCTAGGAGTACCTTCTCGGCTCAGAATAAGGAACTTCAAGCTGATCTGGCCATTCAAAAGAAAAAGTTAGATAGACTGAGAAAGAAGGTGAAAATCCTCGCTGTTGTGAATTGTATATGAAGATTACTTAAAAAATTGTTCGGAAAGTTGTTGGTAACAAGATAGTTATCTATAATCTATTTTTACTATGTTCTCCATTAGTTAGGCATCTGCATAATCATTAAACAGTTCTTGCCTGTTTGCTCTGTTAATGGCTTCATATAATTGAGGCCCCTGATTGGAGTAACTTGACATTATATACGCCTCAACATAGTTTTTGATCAATATCTCCCTCTCTCTCACCCAAGTATCTGGGTGAGTTTTACTTTTATTTTATTTGGTTGTCCATCTATTGCTCTTCATATCGCTCACCTCTTTGTTGAGAATTCTTCTTTTGGGATTTTCAGGATCCAGAATTCAGTAAATTCTTAGAAAGCTTTAGTAACAGTGCCGAATCAATTCAAAATGAAGACGAGGTATTGATGTTTACTATTTGTTTGCTGTTCCTTTATATGTTTCTTGCTTCATTTTAATACAGGTAGAGTTGTTTCATTTATTGTCTTGAAAATGAATGCCCTGCAATTACCTCAAATTATTCTTATATACTGAATATTTTAGATTTCTTTGTATTAGTATCTGTACACATAATTCCCAACTGCAATCATCAGGTTACTCAGTCATTCCAGCAGTAGTAACTTCATTTTATTTTATTTTATTTATTCAAATATGGACATAAATGCAAAAAATTTCTTGCCAACTGAATTTTATTTCATAATTCCTTTTCTTTTGAATCTCTAATTTGTTTTACATTTCGTTCCTTAAACCCAGGACAGCGTGATGATCATATAAGTATAGGTCTACAATCTTTGTTTACTGATGATTGTCAGAAACACCTAAATTTGTGAAAATATAATGTTACTGAAGTTGATTGATGGACTTGCTTTTCATTCAAAGAATCAAAGATATATGGAGATCTGTGCGTATTTTCGTTATCTTTGTTCTCACAAGTCAGAATCTGAGGAGATAATATATTCCTGTCTGTTCATTTCTACAGTACTCAGATGAAGATGAGTCAAGTGATCAAGAGGACCAAGGTGAAGATACCCCATCCAAAGACAAAAGGAAACTCTTGACCAATCGTGTCATAAATACATGGTGCCAAATGATAAAAGAAGATCCTAACCAGTCAGCCTTCATTAGTCTACTAAATGCTTACCGCACGGTTTCTCACTATGGGACAGGCTCGATTGGTCATAATATTGAGGACAGTGAAACCTTTTGCAACATTCTGGTTTTCACACTCACTAATGCTGATGATGTATTTCGTGGCCTAACCGAGATATCATCTTCTAAGAACGCCAAAGAGACGTTATTGAAACTCAAGAAAACATCAAAATGGAAAGATTTGAAACCACTGATCAAATCTTACCTGAGAAGTTCACTGTATCTTTTAAATCAGGCTACGGACTCGGACATCTTAGTTTTTGCCATTACAAGGCTCAGGGCTTCTCTGCTATTCTTTTTTGCCTTTCCATCACTGATCGATCGACTTATTAAGGTAGTGTAACTTTCATACTCTTCTGTTAATGTCTGATTGTTGGCATTTGTTGCATGCCTATTCTGCTTCCTCCTTTTTGGATGGATCCAAGGAAAAAACTTTGATGAACCTCTTTTGCAGTTTTTATGTAGTGTATCATCTTTATTCTTAGATGGGATGTTACAGAAAGAGTATACGCAAGATGGTAAATGATGCGTTGGTTGAGTTTTGGGTTCAATTTGTGATGGAAGCAGGCCTGCTCCTTACTGGATTATGATATGCTGTTTAATTTGATTATTCCATGTATTAAAGCTGACTGCCAAACCTTTAGCCAAAAAATGTCCATTATACAGTTATGCATGCCTTTTGATTTTTTTGATGTAATCAATTTTTCTTATAAAAAGTTTCTTCATGAAATTTACCCCATTGTCAAATTGAAAAATTGATGTAGCATAGCCTCTTTTCACCAATGGTCAATTCATTTGTGTCGTAAATATTTTGTTTCGGTTGTTGAGGCCGATCACAAACCTGGGGTTGAGAGATAGCTGTGGTGTTTGGATTGTTTTTTCGAAGAGGAGCTGTGGTTGACACCCCCTGCACTGCTTGGATCTTTGAGACAATAAAAATTTCCTGTTATGCAATCCTACCTCATTACAGATTATATAACTGCAATTAATGCATTAGAAATGTATATAATATTTTCTATGGAATGGTGATCTAGGAAGATAAATTTGTATTTACCATTTACCCAAGAATATATTTTTTTTCCTATGCATGCGTTCTCAAATGATTGTGTATGGGCCATGAATTAGAAATTGGATCAATGCAGCATGAGCATAACATGTGCCATTGGCCCGGGGAAGCCTGCGTGAAACATTTAGCTTTTGTACTTTGTAGTATCTGTACTAATAATCCATTCATCTGCAGATTTTGTAGTTTCATGTTTACATTTAATATTATCTGTTCCCAATGTTTTTAAATTTCCTTAACAGGCTGCTGTGCATTTGTGGGCGACTAGTGGAGCAATATTATCATCAGCTTCCTTTCTAATCATACGGGACATTGCTGCTATGTCTAGTTCCAATTATTTTGACACCTGCTTATCTAAAGCTTTTGCAGCCTTCATCTCATTTTCTAGAGTAACAGAAATATCAGACATCAGACAAATGCAACTTATGAGGGATTGTGTCGTTGAATTGTGTTCTATAGACGTGCAAAAATCATCCGTTAAGGCTCTGGCATCTTTGAGTCAGTTGGCGCAGATAGTGAGCTGGGGGATGCAAACAAAAAAGAAGGTACGAATGTAAGAGGCAGAATGAGTGCAAATATGTTCACTCATCTTTTGTTGGAGAAAAAAGTACAAATTCTACCCCTTTTTTTATTGCTTATTGCAATTACTTACTTCTACGTTCATTCATATAGTTCTTTTGAAACAGGAAGCTCTCGGCAAGATATGCAGCTGGGAATATGTGAATTGCATTGATGTGTGGGTTAGGTTCATATCGGCCAACATAAGCGACTATGATATTCAGTCTTTGTTATTTATGACGACCCAGATCATAAATGGTGTGGCATATATGTTTCCTGGCCCGAGATATTTCCCATTGAGGCTCAAGTGTGTCGAGTGGCTCAATTGTCTTGCTAGTTCCAGTGGAAATTTTATTCCACTTGCCTCTTTGGTGTTGGATATTTTGGAATATAAGGTTGGCAAGGAGGGCAAAACCGCTGGGAATGCCTTTGATGTTGCATCACTCTTGAAGGTCAGAGACTCAGAATGCTACTTTGTCTATATTTTGCGTGATAATTATTATTTACGAATATAACAGTTAATCTGGTTATGAGGTCCCACAACACCTTAGTTTTTCCTCTTACAGTGTACAACTATATTTCTCAATTTATCGAACATTACAAATAGTCTGACAGAAAGCTTGGGCTATTTCTAATATTTTGAAAAGTTCAGGGCTACTCATGTAAATTATTACGGTTTTGAGTCAAATCGAATATGAGATAAACCTATGAGGATGATTATTGTGATTTTCAAGTTGGATACGATTTTTTTTGTAAATATCCCAAACAGCTGGGATATCACATATCTGAAAGTTGTTCACTTGTTGTAACTGCGAACTGACATGCGCAGTTGCCCAAACATTATCTGAAAACAAGAAGCTTCCAAGATGAATGCTTTCACTTGGCTGCTGAGCAACTGTCGTCACACTTTGCTCAGTGGAGTTACCACATCTCGTTCCCTGATCTAGCAACCATTCCATTAGCTCGTTTGAGAAAGATCCACGAGATCATGACTATTGAAAGCTTGAAACGTACGTTGAAACGTTTTATTGATCAGGTACTATATCCTAAACACCATAATTTCTTGAATATAAAAGGCAAAAGATTAAAGGAAATAAAGCAAAAAAGGAAAAATAAAAAACCATCAATCAGAACTTGTTTTTCCAAGGCTGATCGATCTATTCTGTTGAACTTAAAAAAAAGTGGTAAATCAATGTGAAGCGGCTGTTGTGTAATTGTTTGCTTTTGTTATTGCAGGTGGAGCAAAATGTGGTCTATGTTCAGACAAAAAGAGATGAGGTATCTTTCTCTCCGCACGATCACCAATCCGTGGATTCGTTTATGCAGGTTAGTGTCTAATCCATCCTACTACTTGTACTTATCTATGTTAAGAGATTGATCTAGTATCAATTTTAATCATGTGTTGCAGCTCGAAAAGTCTAGCCTTAATGCCCCATTTACCCAATATTACAAGAGTATGCTCGACAAGGCTGCTGAAAGAAAGTTTCATAAATCTGCAAATATAAGGTGCATTGATTTTAAATTTCTAAACTAGCTGGATTTAATCTTTAGCTGGTCCAGTGATGTGTTGACACCATGCTGTCTTGCGTGACAAAACTTTTTTTTTTTGTTTTTTGGTCTATTGAAATTTTATAGCGAGAATAATATGTGCAGTGCGCAAAAGCAGAAGAAATCGAAAAGAAAAAAAGCAGAGCCTAAACAAAAAGCACAAGGTGTCGAAGAAAATCAACAAACCGGAGTAATAGTTGAAAATGGAACTGCTACAGGTAATAAACGACGAAAAAGTGAAACCTAAGTTTGTTAATTGCGACCAATTCATTTTTTGTCGAAGATGTTGTGTTCATTTTTGGAATATAGCAATGCTCCATTGAAATCCTATGCATTTTCCTTTTCCTCTCTTATATTTTTGTAGGGTTTATTACATGTTCGTTATTCCTACATACCTAAACTATGATTTGATCTACGAGAGTAGGATCTTTGTAAACCTGAAATGTTTAGAATACTTTACCACACTTTCATGGCGCTTCAAATTTAAATTGTTATCTTCTTTCTTGAGTGGGTTGGGGTTGATTTGTTGAGAATTAAGAATCAATTTAAACTATGAGAAAGCTATAAGACAAAGGGCTCTTTTACTAAGGAGGATGTGATTGGACTATTTAATCAAAGCTTAAACATTTTTTTACATGTTGTTTACAAGATAGGATGTGTTTTTATCCAAATAGTCATACATTCTTTACGGTCGGTCTCATCAATATCATGAAATTTAATCAGCGCGAGTCAGATTAGAAGTAGACTGACCGTAAAATAAAATGATATAATAGAAGTAGACGATAATATTACAATTTTTGTTTCTCCTTATATGTAATGAGCAATATTAAAAAGAAAGTCGTGTGCTCTAATGTCAAATTAGCTGTTCTAGAATGCGGAAAATAGCACATGAGGTCTTCAATCAAGTCAAAAATTCAAATTTGACATGTTGAAACTATATATATGTTGAAAACTACTAGTTTGTTTTCTCTTCCATGGCATCTCATATATAACAGTTAGTGCACATTCATTAATATGCTTCAACTATTTAATCAATGTTATTGGTCTATGCATTTGACCTCAGCTCTTATGTCACCCTTCTTACTAGTGTTGCGTAATTTGCCCATTTTTTTTAGGTTTTGTGATTTGTTTTATACACATTTAATAATCATACACCTTGTCAGAAAATTGCAAATAGTATACATCATTTTTTTCTTTTCTTCAGAAAAAAACTTGGGAATGTTAAGTATGTATGCAGTTGTCAAATAATTCAATATACTGTCTTGTACAACACATCTTGACTATTACAACAATTATGGAAGTTAATAGTTGAAGTCAAAAGTGATGCCAAAATAGACGGCCTGATGTCTTTGATCAACTTCTAAAGAATAAAATTAAGACTATGATTGGTAAACCTAGTTGATAAATTAGTTTGTAGCTTTTAAGTGAATTTCGAGCTTATTCCTGATAGCTTATGACTTATGGCTGAAAAACTAGCTTATATGATAAAAGTGTTGCGGTAGAATTAGGTGATAAGCAGGGAAAATTATAAGATAAGCTCGAGCTTTTTAAAACAACTCTTCTTACCAAGCTAAACTTATTTATTTGAATACAAAAACTTATAAGCTAATCAAATAAGCTGAAAGCTGACTTGTAGGCTTATTAAACACAACCTAAACCAAACTCTTGATGAAAAGTAAAACCAAGAGCGAGAAGGGGGAGGTGTGTAATAAATAACACAAGTAGGACCTATATCTCCGGAAAGTCGAAAATACCCCTCGTGGACTTGACGACCATGGCGCTGGGGTGGTGTTTGCCGCCACAACTCAGCAATCTGATCAACCGGGACAACCCAGAACCACCGCCGTCCGATTGGCTGAGCTGGCGGCTACTCTGTCTGATCTTAATGTCCCTTAGTTCCACCTTGTGTTGACTCGATAATCTTGATGATTTACCAAACAAGAGCAAGTGGTCCTTGTGAATTATGGTTGTTCCCTTTCGGCTCGAACTAACCATCCATCTGATTAAGCCCCAACCGCGCCTTTTCTTGATTTTCATTATCTCGGCTGGTTTTTTTGACGCCTCTTTGCTTGAGCTTTTCTTGTCGGGGGTTATGATTTTCCCGCAGAAGATGATGTTTTCTGGCGGGAAACTTGGGGAGGATGGGAAAAAAAACTCGAAATGGTGATCTTGTTCGAGTGGATCTTGTTGAGATTCTTGGACAGTATGTACCAGATCACTGTGCAAAGGAAGGTCACATAAAGAGAGGGCCTCATCTGATTCATAACCATCTATGGAGTAGTAAAGGGCTTTTTCCAAAAGTGGTTCTTGAGTTACCATGTTGTGGTTTTTGATTAAGTAGAGGCTATATGCATATGGTGGTTTTTGATTGTGTTTGATGAAAATATTAGTGGGTGTTTGGGAGGTAAAAGGGATAATAATATTGGTGGAGTTATAGGGTAAGCACATGAAGGATTTTTGTGGGAGACAAATATAGGAACTTTTGAAAAGGATTATGAATTTTTAATTTTATGATTGAAAAAGAAGAAAAAAAAAAGAAAAAAGAACAAAGTATTGGGTGATGGCTTGATGGTTTTGTCCTATTCTGCTTTTCTTCTAGATGTGGAGAAAAAAGGTTTAAGTAAAGGTATGAAAGGGAAACAACATGATATATGAAAGAGGTTGATTCTTGAAGTTTTGGCATGATGCCATGCATGAGGTGAGTAGTTAAAAGTGTTTTAATAGTATTTTGTTGCACAGTTTTTGACCAAATCAAAGCACTATGACATTCTGGAAGAACTTGTGGAGTCTACTAAGGGAAAGAAATAATATTGATTAATATATT